CAGGACTTCTCAACTGCAAAAATCCTTTTACCACCTCCAAGTCTTGAAACTTCAGCCCTTTAAATTTCACACCAAAACAATGAGAACTCCCATACTTTCCAGATTGAATTAGTATTTCAGTTTTAGCCAATCTAACAAGCAGGGCCAGCTTAAAGAACAGCAGCCTTCATTTTAATAACTCCAGTCCTGCCACCTCAGGCAGATTATTTGCCCCTTCCCTGGCCTGTAGTTGTGTATCATGAGCGTTTCTATGAGTTCTCAGACCATCACCAGAGTCATACTGACTTATACCAGTTTACTCAGTTGTCAGAGGAAATGCCACAGGTATGTTTGTTCAGCCTGGAGAAAAGAAGTCTCAGGAAAGACCTTACAGCCGTATTCCAATATCTAAAGGGGGCCTACAAGAAAGCTGGAGAGGAGCGTTTTACAAGGACACGCAGTGACGGAACAAGGGGGAATGGCTTTAAGCTGACAGAGGAGAAAATTTAGATTAGACATTAGGAAAAAGCTCTTCACTGTGAGGGTAGTGAGACACTGGAACAGGCTGCCCGGAAAAGTCATGGATGCCCCATCCCTGGAAGTGTTCAAGGACAGGTTGGATAGAGCCTTGAGCAACCTGGTCTAGTGGGAGGCATCCCTGCCCATGGAAGGGGAGTTGGAACAAGATGAGCTTTAAGGCCCCTTCCAATCGAAACCACTCTGTGAGTATGTGATTCCATAATTTATGAAATAATTCCAACCAGCCAGTATAGATCTGGTAAAAACTCAGGTTTATACTTTGTGGTACCGGCTGAAGTCAGAATTGGTTTTAATCATGTTAATGGTTCTTCTTTTTAATCCCTAGCAAGCCCACATCTACACACAGTGGCTGTCATCATACAGACAACCTCAGAGCTGGACAGTTTGAGACACCATATTATTCATTGTAATCCTAAACCCCAACTTTATACAGGTCTGTTGTATGAAATTCACACATGGAGCAGAAAAAAGTCTTATTTAAATCACTTTGAGCAAGTGTTACTTTAAAAAAAAGAAATAGCAGCAACAACAAGAAAAGCAAGAATAAATGTAACAGGCACTTAAGAGCAAAGTAAATGCAAAACCCTTTTGGATATTTAGATGAGGGGGAGATACTCATCTCCCTTATCTTTAGCTTATCTAGAATTTATACATCTAGCACAGACTAATAATTTGTGCTTCCTCCAGTCTCAAGGAGAGAAAAGCTGCCTTCTGGAGGCTGTCACATCCTCAAATACGGCAAATGAGTCTCTCCAGTGATGGCAGATGCTCTGTAACCATGGAGAAAGTCAAAGATTACCTGCACTTACACAGGTGAGACAAATCTCTCTCTCACTCCTCACATAAGCCACTAAACTAAAATCTGAAGGCTTTGCTTGGATCCTGCACGGACAAACTCACCAACTCCAAGAGAGCAAGGGTTTGCTTTTACGTTTTTGGGACCCAGAGTAGAAGGTTCATTGGCAGTCCAATTTTATACCACTGTTGCTCTGACCACTTGCTCTAGCTGCTCAGTCATGATGGTTCATGGCCAATTTGCCCACTGGTTACGCAGCAATGTGCAACAAGGGCAAAGGGTGAAACATGTTCTCCTAACTCTTAGAGATAAATCTCAGCCTACACTTTCCTCAGTGGGGGAACCAGAGGGGAAGGTGCTGATCTCCTCTCTCTGATGACCAGTGATAGGACATGAGGGAATGGAAAGAAGCTGCGTCAGGAAGAGTTCAGATTGGACATCAGAAAAGCTTCTTCACCAAGATGGTGGTTGATCACTGGAACAGGCTCCCCAGGGAATTGGTCAGCCTATCAAAATTCAAGGAGCATCTGTACAACGCTTAGTCATATTGTTTAGTTTCAGGTAGTCCTGCAAGGAGCAGGGAGCTGGATGCAGTGATCCTTATGGGTCCCTTCTGACTCAAGATGTTCCACGATTCTAAGTTGAAATAAATCAACATTCTACTAGACACCAAACTAGCTGTGCTGTGTCTTCATGGACATGTATCTTACTGGACCACTATTGTCTAAATTTCTGCTGGGACTACAGAAGTTCAAAAAGGACTAGAGCTACTCTGTCAAGTAAGCACAGGTCTTACACGCACATTACAGTTATACAGGTTTACAAATGAGCTAATAGAGATAAAACAGTAGAGCCCACATAGGACAATATTTATAATCTATGGGATCATTTACTCTGTTACACCTTCTTACAGCATAGAGAGAATAAGATATATTGTCAAATTCACACTCATATCAGTATAAAATTATTCTATCTTAAAAAATCTAAGTATAAAAAGGCCATATTGGAGACTTATTTTTGTTCAAAATTAATCAAGCAAGTGCACTGTAACACTATGGGGACTTATGCATATAATTCCTTCCAGGCAAGATTTTTTAAAATAATCAAGAACAAATTATATTGTTTTTAATAGGCAAATAGTTCTCAGTCCCTACCTCTGGGAGCAAGGCTACCTCTATTCCTTCTTCACACTGCTATGTGTCAGTATTGCTGCATTCCCTAAACTACAGGGCTAGCACATATAAGTGCATGCAGTACAGGCTACACTCCTGGCAACTCCCAAGGTCTTCTTTAAGCCTTTCTTATCAGGTTCGATTCACCTCCCTCAGCTGCTGCCAACAACAGCCATGTCATGTATTAGACCAGCATTACAGAACAGGAATTGAAAAGGCACAACCAACATACATATTCCAAAGTGTTTTCCACAAAATAAATCAAACAACTCCTGATATACAGGGGCATGTTGGTCCCAACTACTACAAAAACAGTTGGAATTTATTCCCTGTTTTGGAAGACACCTGGAACTGTGTGGCCACAACTTGGATGCTTCAGTGTCCAGGCCCAGGACCTCACTAGCTGCCCCCTCCACACGCATGGCAGTAAGGAGCAGGCTGCAAAGCTATAGAGGTGACACAGGGACCTAGAAAGGGTTGACATTGATGTGGCATTACCTTCCTCTCAAAAGGATGGCGTTTCCCATCCTCCACAAAGGCATTTCTTCCCTCAAAGCTCTCCCCAGCCTCACTGCCTGATCTGCTTTCTCTATCAGGAGACCACTTACAACCTCCTCACCTATGCAACCTGGTCCTCAGCCAAGAAGCCCAAGCTTCTTCACTTCAGGGGGAGGGAACTGCCATGGCCCGAAGCCTAGGCATCTTTTTTGGAGAAACACTACAATTCATGGAGCATCCAGAACAGCCAAGCAAGATCGTGCCTAAGTAGGCCCTGTTATTCAATTAGCTTAGTTGGCCGAAGGTTTTCCCATTGTAACATGACTTTTCTATTCCAGTATTATTTTTGGTGTAAAAAAAAATAATAAAAAAAAATCAGTGGGGATGGGTGGGGTTTTTTTGCGCAAAACTCAGTGCTTTTAATGAAAAAAAGGTTGCTTTTCTCAATATTTTGCTGTTTGTTTCTGTTGGGAAAGCTTGAAACACATCATTTTTGTCAGAAAAATATCAGTCCATGTTTGTCCGAATTCCTCCAGTGTCAGCTGGGAGCTGTAATTCATGAGCTCCATGTCCCCCTCTTTCCCAGAAGGCTGGGCTCCTGGGCACCCCTCCAGCCTTCATGACGCATTCCCTTTTTACTAAACCATGGTAAGAGCATCATGGGACCTGTAACCCAGCCAAAGAGCTGGACCCCAAGGGAAACACAACGCACAAGGCACTTGAATGGTAATTTCTGAGGTCTGCAACAGTAGCTCTAACTGATGCTGCTTTAAGGGCCAAATGGATTTAATTAAATGTTTCCATTTCAAAAGGCATTTTCCAGCTGACAATTTCTCATTTTTTGAAAAATTTCTGTTCCAGGAAACTTCTCGGTATTTCAGCTTTCCGTCTCAATTCAGGACAAAATTAAATGTTCAAGTATCAAAACTTCAATGCTATATGGACATTCAGTTAGGGAAACAGCCTTATTAATTAGCTACCAAAAGTAAAATGACTCCATCTATGCAAGAAGGGTGTGATCCATTTTGCCTCTGACATCAGTGGAAGCCACTTTTTCGGCTTAGTGGAGCTTGGATGTAATCCCAAACATCCAAGGAAGGGTGGAATTGACCATAGTTGCAGATACTGGAAATAGGAGTCAAGAGTGAAACAGCAGAAATACAAGAAGCAGCAACTAAGATAATCTGCTACCTGGACTCAGTCAAACCTCAGTTTTACTTACTTTAGTGAGTAACAGAAGGAAAAAAAATCATTAAGATTATAAACCCCATTTCCCAGTTACAGTAAAGACAGCAATAAATCAACACTTTTTAGAGTAGGATAAATACATAGTATGAATGTGCCATGAACTCTGTAACTTCCAACATTCAAAACATTTCCTCAGAAAACCTTCATATACTCCATTCAGGGAGACTATTCTAAAGCTGAAGATATCATATGGTACTGAACTCCTTGCCACAGGTTGTCTGCCATCCCTTGAACCCTGCGGAATTGTTCTGCTGGATGAGTGTAACAAGCTCTGTCAGGGGGACCAAGGTCTCTGAACTTTGATCACATCTACAGGTGAAGAATAGCTAAGAGTGGGCTCTCAGGGTTGACATTCTGGGTAAGGACTGGACACCAAATCCATCCTCTGCATTGCTCAATCTGGCTTTGGATGTAGCCCCAGACCTTCCACCTCAAAGAGTAAAAGAGAAGCCCCAGGGAGCCTGTGTCAATCAGCAACAGGGTGTGTGTTGAAGGCAAGAGAACACTCAGAAGAGAAAATAAATCAATTCACCCAACCACAAGGGGTCTAGAAATTGGGTTTTGTTTATCTTTCATTTCCCTTTAGTACAAGGCAGATGTTTCTAAGTAATAAGCAGAAACCTCAACAATTTTTAAGACTGAAGAGGAAGGGAGGGAGGAAGAAACATGTACAAGTTTTGAGGATGTTTTCAGCTCCAGCTTATTAAAAAAAAAATATATATTAAAAAAAACCCCACCAAACAAAGAACTAAACCACACACCACCAGAAATGTATATCTGTAATAGTAGGTTTTTCCTTAGGCCGTTTGGTAATTCTTAGTTCACAGGAGCATTTTATCCAGAAGGTTCTTCATGTTTCCAGTCTAAGTTGTAGAAATCTCAGTGAGGCACTATATTTTAGGCTGTTAAAGTCTTTCTGTGCAGCACGGTCATTTTAAAATGATGTGGTAGCCATCATTGCTTTCAGCTGTAACAAAGAAATGCAAAGCATTTTTTTCATTGCTTTCAGAAAACGGCACAGAGCTCCAGGTTTCTTCTTAGGTAGTTTGCAATAGTTTGTAACCTTGTTCTACAACCCACTCATGAAAATCAATATTGAACATCTAGGTCAAAGCATTTACATTAAAAAATACAACATACAGTCATCTTTTACCATTTTACTAGAGGGCTTTCTGCCCATTTATGTCAGTGTTATCAATGGATTTATGAAAGTTTTATAAGTGTAACTGAAAAAAACAGATTCATCAGTCTATCATAGTGTAAACGGAACACCTTTCCTTACACTAAATTAGACTACTTATCTTTTCAAGGTAACAGCACCAAGTTTGTAATAACATTTAGTGCAATCAAAAGGAGAAATTATCTTTAGGGCCACGTGTAATAGCAACAGCAATACATACCTTTTAATGTGCTGATAACAAAACAAGATTCATCTTGGAAGTTTTGCACCATCTGAAGGGCAGAAGCAAAAAAAGCCAACATAAGAGCAATTGCATTCAAGTTTCCTTCAGCGCCAGTATAGACTCAAGAGGTATCAAACAACATTTGGTGTCCAGTCCTAGAGTCCTGAGTAACCCTGCCCATAAGATTACTAAAGTACATGACTGATTAATTAAGATCCTTGCAGCTGCTAATGTGCTTAAGAGAAGCACATATTAAAGTGCTTGCCTGGAACTGATCTAGTTTGTGAAATACTACCCAGAGGTGGTCAACCCTGAGAAATGGACTCCTTGTTGAATAAAGGCAAATTGCTACTGAAAACCCATCTCAGCAGCATCCATCTGGATATTTTTACTAGACATTAGTCAAAATACATTTGTAGGAATCATTTACCTGTTTGTATTTTGTTGAGGCACAGGAATCTTAATGAAACTACTAGGAGAGGCAAGGCAGATCATGGGAAGCAAGATAAGTATCTAAAGTGATTTGAGTTAGTCATGATAAAACTAGATTTTCAGAACACGTGCAGGTTCTAGTGAGGCCCCTAACTAAAGAGGTAAGTTAAAAGATTCAGCTAACTTCAGATCCAAACTGAAATGCTCATTGAAGCTTCATTGTTAAAAAATGGGCTCTCTCAGAGTAGTTGTGTGGAACAGAGGAGATAAATTACCTTCAGGGGTGTCTCAAGACAGTTGAAGCAGATGTTGGACACCTAACTTTGGAGGGGAGGTGACCAGAACCTCTCTGATAAGCTCAGAAAATCCAGCTTTAAGCAAAAGCCTTTTCCTAACTATTGAATAACATTCAAGTAAAGCACTTTAAGTTCTCACACCAAATATCCTTTTCAACTTAGACTAACCTCCCTATTCTCTTTGGGGTTTAACATTCACCCCCTGCTCCTGCAAATCAAACTTCACTGGCCAGTCTGTGCCTAATGATGCATGAAGTACATACATAGAGTGCCTTATTCTTTGCACTATATTACTGGAACAAGAAAAAAAATATTAAAAAAGCAATAGACATTGTTAATAATTGACTTAAATACTTAAAGCCTTATACCCAAACTGGTTCAGGCAATTCCCCTACCAAGAGTTGCCTCCAAGCACTTTACATCCATAAAGCATCAGCATTTCAGATTTAATCAGGCTGAAACAGCAAGGAGACTCTAGGAATAAGCATTACAGCTTTTGATTTAGGCTCCAGTTGAGACCTACGCTCTGCTTCATTTGTTTTAACAATGTTTCTTATACATGAAGCTCCTTAAGTGATTCTGGTGCATGAATGAGTAAGTAATTTAGTGGGGAGGAAAAAAGGAAGAAGGGCAACTCACTATTAACCTGCAAGTTAATGGATTGGACTAAATTAAGCCATCATGTAACGGGACACAAACAGCTAGCAGAGGTCCATTAAACTACAGTGTGCACTTACATAGCACTGACTCTGACCCAATGGCTGTAATCACTGGCCAAGATGGAAGACTAGCTGCCCTACAGATTTTCAAACCTGCCTTCTTGAGGAAAGAAGAAAATTAAATCGAAATTAAATATCCTATTTAATTTTAAAGGTTCTTATTTTTAGATCCTTGCTCCAAAATTTGTTTCAGTAGTCAACGTGAAGAGGAAATGAATTATTCTGTTTTGTTAAAAAAAAAAACAACCAACAAACCAACAAGCAACAAAAAAACCAACCACAATAAAATCCAGCACAACAAAAAATGCAAACATACTCTTTTACAAAGCAATGGTCTTAAAAACACACCAAAATAAATGATATGCATGAATGATTTGCTTTAAGTATTTGCTTTAACTTGTCAGGATTAGTAACTGCTAAGCTTCCTTGAAGACTCATTCCCTAATTTAAAAGGCCATTCTAACTTCAAGAAGTCAGACAACTATTACAGTTCTGACAGAGTTTACATTAACCCCTTACCTCATTGCTCACTAATACATGGATCCCTGTGGGTCCCTGCCGATAGATTCGATTTATCTGCTGTGGAGAAATGCTGTACAAATTTGCAATCTTCTCCATTAATTCCAGTGTGGTCAATTCTTCCAAGAAGATTGCATGATATACTGCAACAAGTTGAAAGTAATTACAGAGTTATAATTACAGAATAGCGACTAGAGATAACACTAAGATGCTCCGTATCAACAGCCAAATGGGTTTAAGATCAAGGTTCAAATCCTGACAGTAGATACATGAACTTGTTAACTTTAAAGCAGCCCCAAATATCAAGCTTGATGATTTGTAAAAAAATACCCAGTAATTGGGAGCCATGGAAAAATAAAGCACATGTTACTTTTGCCCAGAGGAAAACACAGGGACTAATGACAACGTGTATCATGGGGCACCAAATAAACTCTCTCACAAAAATGTTAATTTTTTTATAATCTACTTTTATTGGTTTTAACATTTTAAAGTAGATCCAATTAAATAGTAAGACAAATGATATTATGTCACAAAAAAAAGTAGTATTTCATTAGATGCTATCCCACTGATCCCATAAGCATGAACTAAAGACTACAATGTATCAAATAACTGTAGATGACAGCATTAAGTTTTAAATCCAACACAAATGGTAGAAACAACAAAGTAGGAAAGCTGTGCCTAGTTTATACTATGTGCAAGAACTAAGGACAATCTGTTCTCATTTGATCATACATCACAACATGAGGGACAGTTAAGGTCAGTGAGTCCCCAAAAGCTTTGAACTTTCAAGAATTAGAACCTCACTTTAAGACCTTCCATTTCCCAGAATATTTTCAAACAAGCCATAATCTGAAGCGAATTGTGGATGGGGGTTAGTTTTTAATGCTATGGTCCCTATTAAGAACTCAACAGAGATTTTGCTAGAGCATTCTGCAGATAGCCTATAAATCTGGTCTGTTCCTGAGACAAGATGGTACCAGTTGGAATCTGTAGCCCTGAAACTAACTGGAGTGGTAGAGCTGAGATAAACAGGACCTCTTTAAACAGCAAGCTGTCCCACACAGAAGCTCAGGCAGAAAGCAACATTCTCACCAGGTTAAGTGTTTTAACAAAGTCTATACATAAAAAACTTACCACAAAGACTGCTATCTCCATTTTCTCGTTTTTGGTGGAGATGGGACCTGTTTTGTTCTGGTTCTTGACAGACATAAATTGTCATTTTTGGCCTTACATTTCTATGGGTTATTAAAAAAACAGTAGTAAGTTATTTAGTAGATCTAAAATTGTTCCAGTCAGCTATTAAGCAATGAGAGATGGAATCATTCAATCTCTGCATAAATAACCAGCTAAGAGGTAGTCTTAATGCTAGGGACTACACGTCTTAAGGGGTCTAGCCAGAGCCCACTGGGAGGTGGTGGGACACAGCAGAGCACCTAAATCTCATCAGGATCAAATAAGAATAAAAAGTTTACAGCACTTGCCAAGCAGCTCATCATACCTGCCTTTACTGATTTGAATCCTGCTCAGCTGTAGAATTTAAGATGTTATTGCAATAAAAGTAAGCTTAGGAGTCATTTGAGACTCCAGAGATTGGTTTGTTGATTGTTACCTGTGATGGAGATGTAACACAGCGTATTGTAGGCTGTCTTTCATATAAAGTGGAGGGAAGCTATGAGGTGGTAGCATATCAGATCCAGCACTGGAGATCCACATTATGCTGCTTCATTTCAGCAATATGTGTGAGCTGTGCTTGGATTTGAATACCATTACACAGAATCACAGAATCCCTAGGGTTGGAAGGGACCTCAAGAGATCATCTGGTCCAACCCCCATTGTGATCTCCATCCTCTCAGATGACCTCTCTGAAGTATTAAAAGGAAGTCTAAATGCTACAGCTCCAGGATGAACTTCTTGTTAAGACTGAAATTACCAAGGGATGCTTCCATAGCAAAACAAAAACAAAAACAAAAAAAAAAAATGGAAGGAGGAAGTACAAACCTTCCTTTGATTGCATTAAAGAGCCGAATTCCATCAGCAGGCCCACAGATTTGAACAAAATCTTCTTTGGACATCTTCAGTAAGTCAGCACCTACATATTTCAAATTGATTTTTTTTCAGAAGTTAAGCAAATCTTAGCTTCCAAATTGTGTGTATGGGCAGCAGGAAAAGGCCAGGAGGAGAGAATTCACAAATCTAAATCAGAGAGATCTCCTTAGAGAGTAGCAGATTCAGAGAGGTGTACAATGCAAATCAATCATTGTGCACTGACAGAAGCTGCCAAAAGAGCAGCCCTGCACTGAAAGATATTCTGCCAAGTCAGAGACAAGCTAGATGTTTAACACTGGCCATTAAATGCCCCAGTTTTCTCTGCCTGCCATATTCACAAGGTTATTTAATCGTAGCAGTGTAGAACAGTTAAGGTTGGAAAGGACCTTAAGATCATTTAGTTCCAACCCCCCTGCTACAAGTCAGAAAGAGGCTCCTCAAGGTTTCAACGTCTTTAAAAATTCCCCCTTCCACCATTTTACTGCTGTGTATAACTATCTAATGGGAGGGTACAGTGAAGATGGAGCTGAATGAAGATGGAGCCAGACTCTTCTGAAAGGTGCACAGGGACAGAATGAGAGGCAGCAGACAGAACATGGGAAACACTTCTTCACTGTGACAGTAGTCAACTATTTGAAGAGGCTGCTTGGAGAGATTGTGAAATTTCCAACCTTGGAGATATTCAAATGCAACTGTACAAGACCTTGGACTTACTTCAAGCAGGGGTAGCACTTAATGAACTTTAAAAGTCCCATCCCAAATTATTCTCTTCCATCTTTACTTATTCTATATTTCTACAAATTGTTATGGCAAATGCTAACAAATCTAAGAACAAAAGAGCAACCACACTGGATCAGACCAGTGATCCCACGAACAGTGGCCAGCAGCAGATGCTCTTGATGCAAAGCCTAAGCTGCCCTTACAAAAGAGAACAAGGACAAAATAATTGACTGTTTAAACTCACCCGAAAAGCTTGAGAAGAGTCTACAGAATGGAGAGAACCTATTACGATGAAGCCACTGCTGGGCATCTTGAATAGAAGCAGAAGGAAGGAGATGCTACATTGCAAAAAGAATAAGAAGGTCTTGAAATGAACTGTTCACCAGTGTCCTAAAAAAGAAAAGCACCACATTAACATGATCTCAAGTACTTACATCATTGCTGGGAGGCAGGAGCTCCACTTGGTGGGTTGGAGAACTGTTGCTAAAAAAAATTATGCAAAGTTGGAAGAGAAAAAAAACCACATTATTTTAAATTTTACATAGCAGTGTCCATCCTTTTCCCCCTCTTCCATCTGACTCAACTGTCACAAGTTACACAGCAACTTGGCTTTTTCCTCTATCAGATTTTTAAAAATGTGTCCAAAGTCTGGACAAAAAGAAAAAATAATTTAAAAAAACCCCAAACCCCAACTCATGCCTTCCATTGGTCAGCTGAGGTTCTACCCAGTTTACTGACCTCATTTAAACTTTTCCATACTGACAGCTTACTAACATGACACCATCTAAGCATGAAAGTTGTGACCTACAGAGTGGCTGAACCCAAAATTTCTACAAGCCAGAAATCCCTTAACTAAATCCACTACCTAATAGTGATTCATCACAAAAAAATTAATAAAGAACCTTATAACTCAACCCTGGTGTTATCTTAAACATAGGAAATTGCAATTTAACTATATCACATAAAACCGTGTTTCTATTAAACCCTGATAAAACATAGACAGGACCTCAACTGATCAAGGGTTTTCCCAAAGAATTAATCATCTAGCAGTGGAAGAAAACGCTCAACAGATCCTTCTACTAACACCAATTTTTCTCATTTCAGTGTTTCTCTTTATGCATAGGTTGAAGTTGCTCACTGAAAATTCATGATACAACACTGATTAATTAATAAACTGCAGGAAGGCAACAAGGCTGCAAAGTCCTAAAAGAGGAAAAGAAAGGCCCATGCCAAATTCCTAGGGACAAATATGTCACAGGGAGGACTCAGAATTACCAAGGGACTCTGCCGTTTATTTCTGTCATCAGCTATCATGTTGGGTGCTTCAGGACCACTAAAACTGTTTCTTTATGATTGCTACATTAAAGAATTAAATATGCCTCCTTTTAGTCATGTGTTCTAGAATGACTTCTCAAAACTCAGGCTGTTTTGCCACAGGGGGGGTTCCTTTATCCCCATTCAACTGGGAATCCAGCACCCCAAACTACCTCAAGACAGAAAGGAAGGCTGAAAGACTTAAATGCTATTGTCAGAAACAGTGGAAAATGCTAGTACAGGGCATCGTGTGTTCTCTAAAGAACAGAAGAATAAGAAAGGAAATTTATAGCAGGAATTGTCCTGGTGACCCTCTGAAGCTCACCTCCCAGGCACCACATAAGCAGTGGACATACAGACAGTACTATGCATTACAGGGAATTCCTGGATGGAAGGTCTCAAAACAGTTAGTGGGAAATATTTTCCCCTTTCTAGGAAGGGTGGCCCTTCACCTATTCTTCCAGGGTATGAAATGCATGGACACACAAACAACATCCACGCAACACTACGATATCAACAAGAAAGATAAAAGCATTTATTTGTTACATACCCATCTCCAAGGTTGAAGCTGTTGGGAGAACTGTTGTAACTTGGAGATGGAGCATTGTTCATTTGATAAGGCACATCTGGCCAGGGAGAGCACTGTTGGAAGAAAAGCAGTGGGGATACTTTCGTAAGGATGGAAATAAAGGATTCGATTCTCCTCTAACACCACATTCATGCTGTTGCCACGCCACTAACTTCAGCTCATCACTCCTGCTGAGAGAAGGAGACAGGCCATGGATTTTCTACACTGCTCTCCAAGCGGGCTGTCAGGGGCCAGATTGATTCCAGTTGTGCATTCCACATTTCTCTCATTTCACAAAGCCTGTCCCCAAATAACACTGGGCCAAAATGTGCACAGCTGTAAGTCAGAGCAACGCCAGTAAGTCAGTGCAGACTGAAGGCAGCAATGATACAGAAATACCCCTGGTCTCAATTATACATCCCTAATTAAATCCAGGGAAGAGTGACAAATATGCTCCAGAGGCACTGCTTCAGGTTAGTACCAGTGAAAGAGCAGAATTCAAACCAATCTGCTAAAACCTCTGGCTACTAGTTGAAGAGCTCAAGTTAAAAATGGGTATTATATAGAGAAAATTTGAGAGAGACAGACACAAAACTGCTAAAAGCCTTCACAAATATAGGTCAAACTCCATATTCCATTACAGTAGTGTAAAACCAGAGCAACCCAGCTAGAATTGGTGACTCTGTTCTGAATTTAAGCCACTGTAATCAGCAGGAGAAATTTAGCCCCGTGGAACGCCCTGCCATCAAGAGCTCAAGAAAATGCTCTGTAGTATCCTTGTTTGCAATGATAAAAAGACAACAAGTGCAGCTTTGGAGTTTTATCATCTAGCAAATATTTTATCATCTCATGAGCACTAGCAAATATTTAACTCTTTAGCAACCCACATTTCCTCATGCAACATGTCAAAGTGCATCAGAGATCACAGGGAGAGTTTGGGATCTGCCAACTCAGTAGAATTAGGTCTGTGTACACAAAAGCCTCACTAACAACCACCATGTTGAATTAGAAAACATACTGGTTGCTCCTTGCAATGTGAGGAAAACTGAGAGGGAAGAACCAGATCTCACAAACAGGAAGTTTATTTAAATTAAGAAAACCTCTGTTTTTCAGAAGTTCAGCAAGCCACTTCAAAAAACAGAAGAACTAAATCAAACAACAACACATCCGCACAGGGTGAAGGAACAGCACTTTTAAACCACTCTCTTGAGTCCTATTGCTTAGTAATTCTGCAAACCTGGGGTAAGCTTATATATATATATCTTAGCATCTTAGTAATGGCAGGCAAGAGTAAAAACACATGCACCTCCACCCCAAATCCATCAGAATATAAGACATTCAAGATACTCCTAGAGTACAAGCCAGAATCTTCTGAGTATTGTGTACAGTTCTGGTGTCCTCAACATAAAAAGGACATGGATCTGTTGGAACAAGTCCAGAGGAGGGCCACGAGAATGATCAGGGGACTGGAGCACTTCCCATATGAAGACAGGCTGAGAAAGTTGGGGCTGTTTCAGCCTGGAGACCTCATAGCAGCCTTCCAGTATCTGAAGCGGGCATATAGGGATGCTGGGGAGGGACTCTTCATTAGGGACTGTAGTGGTAGGACAAGGGGTAATGGGTTAAAACTTAAACAGGGGAAGTTTAGGTTGGGTATAAGGAGGAAATTCTTTCCTGTTAGGGTGGTGAGGCACTGGAATAGGTTGCCCACGGAGGTTGTGAATGCTTCATCCCTGGCAGTGTTCAAGGCCAGGTTGGACGAGGACTTGGGTAACATGGTTTAGAGCGAGGTGTCCCTGCCCATGGCAGGGGGGTTGGAACTTGCTGATCTTAAGGTCCTTTCCAACCCTAACTATTCTATGATTCTATGATCTTGTACGTAATAGTAGCTTCACAGACACATTCACAGAAAAACAAACTAATAATTTAATCAGACACCCTATTCATCTATTCAAGTGCCCCATCTCCAACATAAGCTTTTGCCAGACAGCTCTGAAGAAAATGCCTCCTACAACTGGCATTTAAGCACCATAACAAGTGCCCAGGAGCACAGCACAAGATAGAGAAAATACTCCTTTTAAAGCTAGGCTGTTAAGGGTTGGTTTGCACCCTAAAACATAAGAAACTTTGGCAACTTTTATAAACTTCAACAGTGAGAGACATTTTGTAATCTCACTCTGCTCTCAATTTCAATCAGATCTAGGCATACATGTCTCCACAAGACAACCTCCAGGGCTCATTTAGACTGCATTTTCTCTCAAATCTATCATCTCCCAACATGCAGAAATAGTATGATGTCTAAAATGCTTTACCTCTGTGAGAATAGTTGTCTCATAGGAAGGTTGATACTTCTCTTTCTCTTGGGTGGTCTTCTTCTCCATTTTTTCCCTGTCAGTCTTCTGTTTTCTGTCTGCTCCTTTAGGCTATAAGCACAAGCACAAGCTTTCCCTTATGCCAAGTATTACAAGTTTGAAGACAGAGGCCAACAGATTTCTTCTCTAATACATTCACAAAAGTGTCCTTAAGGTCTGAGGGAACTCTACATACAGAATAAGATCAGATCTGCATTTCCTAGACAAAAAAATATAACAAAGCATCTCCACTGTTTCTTTAACGTCCCCCATTAATGTCTCTTGGACCAAATAAGCTGACCACAGTCCTGAGATTTGGTAGTACTCATTTCAGACCATGAGCTCCACGAGTTATGCACCTCAACTGGTATTTGTACCATCCCTCCACGAACATGTAAGACACTGCTCACAGGAGCAAAACTGGAGCAGAAGATCCTTTGGGAAAACAGGCCTATGAAAAGTTTTTTAAGTGTCCATACATGTGCCATGCCCAGATTAGGATCTTCAGAGATGCTTTCTCCCTGAATCTTTCTCTCCCCTAGTTACCATGGAGGAGAACTCTGCTGAAACAAAAAAGAAGGGTATTTAAGGTCTCCAAATCTCACTGTTCACGAAGGATTGAATAAAAAAAAACCCTGGAGATGCCATAATGTCATCACTGCCTTCAAACACCAAAACATAGCAGATACCCTAACCATATCAGTATTTGTATAGTGTTCAAGGCATAATGGACTGGCATAAGTCTTGGTGCAGCACCTGGGTCATCTGAATTTAACTAGAATTGCTGTGTAGTTCTGTGTTTATATCACTTTGTGTGCTAGAGCCCTCTTTATGATCTGAGGCATACCCAGATAAAAGTCTGTTCTTTTACTCCACTATTTGCATCAATCATATACAATTTAAAAAGTATGCATACTTCCATATCTTAATCTAGTTGATGACAAAGACAAAACTACCTCATACCTTGAACACTTTGATCTGGCAGCTTGCAGAATGCAAGTGTTCTGTGTATTCACCATTTTCATTTTGTTTAAATGTGTCGATTTGCACCCGGAAGGGCACACCTTTCTCTCCTCCATGTTTCCGTGGAGTAAATTCTGTGCTGATGCAATGTACCTGGCAAAACAAAAGCTGTGCTCATCTCTGGGGACAGTTGGAATCTGTGCAAACCTGAATTTCAGATTCTGCCTGAACATAAGGTATTGGCTCCTTCCAAGAAGCTAAGAGAGGCTGAAGACTTTTGATGTTTTCATTTTTTCTGTTCCTCAGGACAAAACAATTAGAAGAACAAGCAGCTCAGAAAGAAACAGGGCATCAGGAAAAGCATCCTTTAACTTAAGTAAATCCCACACATAGATTAAAATCAGATAGTTGGCATTTGGGATGAGAAACACTCATAAAGGAGGAAAGGAAGCAAAACTAACAGGTTATGGACAATTTCCTCTAGACAAAATTCATGTATCTAAAACAACATAATTCTTTAAAAAAGAAAAATATTCTAAAATCCTAGCTGTAGTAAGTAGTACTCCAAAGATAGTAAGTTGCTACCAAGTTGGTTTAGCAAGCAGCCTACAAATTAATTATACACAACTGTCACTTGAGTTTGTATATTATCATTAGCATCTTCCTTCTTCGTTTCCTGGTTACCTTAACTCTCCAGGTCTTTGTAAGGTATCTCACCACTGTATTTACCAGAGAAATATCAGTTCTCTCTTACCTGGATGAATGCTGAAGCTCTCTTTGATGGATCCCACAGAAATTCAACAGTATTCAACTGGGTTGGACTGGCCCTCGGATCCAAGATACCAACTGACAGTGGAATATCTGTAGAAGAAAACCCCTAAAATTTTAAAAATATTAAATTGAAGAAGAGAAAGCATTTCCACACAACTACAAGACGCACGTGAAAATGCAAGCCACCAGTGATACATCTATCTGGCACCTATAATGCTAGATCTCCTTCCCACCCAAAGGCATACAGGATTCCTAAGAGAATAGGATATAAAAAACCTAAACACACATACAAATACTCCATATGTCACTCAGCCTCTCGCTTCCAAACGCTGCACAGGACCATAATTAAATAGTCTCACCTATATCAAGGATGCGGTCCCCAGGCCGACTCCACCTCCAGCCCTCAAGCTGCTGATGCTCTGTGTACTGCAGGCGTCGATCATGGAAAACTACACGAATTATGCTCTGTTGAGAAAAGACAGCAAGCTGAAGGATGTGATCCAGAGGCCCTTCTCTTGAGATGACTTTGGTTTTCCAGAGTAGAAAGCAAAAGCTGATCAGTTATGTTTCTCATCCTTAGTCATGAGGAGAGTAGAGGGTCCACCTAAGAGACCCATCACCATGTTTTTCAGATTCCTAAGGGACCCCTGAGTGAGAGAGCAACACCCTTTCCCCTTCACAGGGTATGTCTACACTGCATAGTGCAGCCATGTACAGCTTTCTGGGATTTGGTCTGGAAGCGTAATAGCAATGTCCACCTAATCTTATGTGCCATGCCACGTAGACATCACTATCCTGCCTCTAAACCCCAAATAGCTCACAAGGAGACAATATTTAATGTGCCTATACCGTGTCCCAGCCCCAGTATATCCCACTCTGATTAGCACATGTGAAAGCCAGCTCACCCGTCCCCGCACCAGTGGAGCTGACATGCCCAGACACCTTGTCAGTGGGAATTCAACTTCATTCCAGCCATTAACAGCCAGTCACTGGATTTGCCCCAGTGTAGTTAAAGTGTAGAATAGGAAAACTTCTGTAACAGGAGAATTTTCATCTCTGGTCTGCAATGGTGCAGCCATGTCAATAACTGAAGCAAAAAGGCTGGAATAAGGGCAATCCCCAGAGCAGACAAGTCCAAAGTACTCCTAACTAATATATACTTTTGTATATTCAGAGTGCTACACTTGCATGAGTTAATGACCCGTTACCTCCCAGTTTCTCAAGTCCATGCTCCTCCTAGGGGCTTCTGTATCAAATGAATAAGCAATTTTTGCCAATGAACCTGAGAAATGCCCAAATCAAACCCTAGCTCCAAGAAGTAAGCAAGCCACAGTGGGAAGACCTGCAAAACTGGAATCCCAATCCACAAGCTTCCTGAACTAGGCCAAAGACAAACAGGAAACTACCTAAACTTGGACAACATTTGAAATCCAGATTGGAATCCAAATTTTGCAACTAGTCCCCACTTCCCAAAAGGAATCCTGAGGCAGAACAGCCAAGAATTGGGGAGAGGAAGGCTTTAACGTTGGATCCAGAACCAAGATCCAGACCAAAGCTTTTGAATTTGAACTGTTTTGGAAGGGGGGAAAACAACAACAAAAAATCCCCCAAACCAAATGATCAAGTTCTGTATGTTCATAATTATGCCCATAATCAAAATAAACTGAAGCTATGCAAAATCTGCATCTCAGAACCATGTAAACATCAGGGTCCTCCATTTGACTTGTAACAGCCCAGGCATGTTTCTGAGGTTACAAAGGGAGACAAGTCTGCCTCTCAGCAGTTTTGACCATGTTCACCTCTGAACTTTGGGATTCCCCCAAACCCAGTATTCACAGTGAAACTCTGAGGCCCTGGTCACAAACAGAATAAAGCCCTGTAAAGCCAAGCTGCATAATCCCATGAAACTAGCACTCAACAACTCTATCAGCCCTGCTCCCATTAAAAACAATGGCAAAGTATTTTCCATTGTCTCAGTGTGAGCAAGGTCAGGCTCTTCATTAGAGGTTGTATGTAATAGCAGGAAGAAAAGAAATCTATATTTCTCCTTACCTTTACATATTTTGTGTTTAAATCTTGAAACTCTCCCAATTTCCTATTCTCAAGTAGACGGATTTCATAAGACTGACCTAGAGTTTAAGGAAACATTTCCAAGGTGTTTAATATGTTGTAGCAATGAGAGAGTCATGCTGGCATTTATGTGGCTGATAAAACATACGTTTGATCAGGGAAAGCTTATATCTGGTAACATAATGCATTTGACCCAGTAATCAAGTAGGTGCTAAAGCACAGCAGCAATCTGAGGGAAAGGTTTGTCTTTTGGCATCTAAAAGCTCTCAGTTAGGGCATAGATCTTAGTCTGTTTCTCAGGGCTGCTACAGTTTTCTGGTCACCCTTCAGGAAGTCACCAAGGTGTTTGAGACAGTTGTCCCCCTGTGTCACATTACTGTAACAGCACTGCCTTTGTCCGTCCTTTCTGCTGAAGCAACGGTTGTGTGAAGAGCTAGCTGCTGGCAGAACAGGTCTAGGCACTATTCTGCAGAGGATAACAACTTGGGTAAAGTCTTGCCTTCTTTGGAGAACAGTCAGGCCTGTAGGGTGTTCCAGTGAACCAGAAACACAAGATTTGTCCCATAAAACCTAGACCATGGCTGCCCAGAGCATAAATACCTTTTCAGACACGCGTGTGGAAGCAGCAAGGGGTATTATAGCATGTGCAGGGACCAATTCCAGGAAAGGAATTCATATTTCAGCACCCACCACCACTCTCAGCATAGGAAATTTAGCCTGTTCAGTAGAATTCAGCTACTAATTTATGAAATAACATCTCCCTCCAAGGCTGACAGCAGGCAAACGAGACTGATGTCTCGATACCTCATGCACAAATGGCTATGACAGTACAAGACCTCATTGTACAGGACCAACTCTTTACAACAAACTTACAGCCAGCACAGAGGCAGGGCAGGATTATTAGGATTAATGGAGTATATGTATACCTTATAGCTAGTTTTTCTTGTTCATCTTGCTATCTTCCCATTTACTGAAAAATACACAAGGTAGGATAAGGCAGGCCCTAAGAAGGAAATCAGCTTGGGTTTTCTAGCTCAACCAGTATCTCCACAGAACTGGCCCTGCAGAAAACTGCAAAGCAGCTATATCTCCCTCTAAGCAGTTGCTACCAGCAGAGACAAAAAAAAATGCCACATTACTGGGTTGAGATCTAGAAATAGAAGATTTATGACAGCAGATATGTCAGAAGGGCACCACGTTTCAGGCAGATTCCCTTCTGGGAATCCCAGCTCTTCCATTTGCCTGCATGAGTATGGACCATATTAGTAGATCCCAGGAATAATTGTGCTTATCCTGCTGGCTGGGAGCGGGGGGCGAATAAAGCGAGGAGAGGCCATACTGAATCCCCAGATGTTTGCACAACACTCCTACTGATGTCAATAGGAGTTCTGCAAACAGGAAATAATCCCTGAATCCAGCAAGTGGCTTAGGGGACAGGGAGAAGGGAGAACAAACCATATGAAGTGCCAAATTAAGCACTGGAAACATGCATAGATCTTAACCCATCTCTTTGAGCATAAGTAAACCAAGATGACAACAGTGACCTTCCTTTGAAGCTTACTGGGCAACAAAAGTGCATTTTGTAATTGACAGTCCCAAAATTGAGGTCTTACGTGCTTTAATTCAAGAGACTTTCTAATGTTCCCTCTGATACACACTATTTTTCACTTGGCAATTTTTAGAGAGATTTACATGTCTGCTCACATAATCAACACTGTCGCATTAGCATAAAAAAGATCAAACTCCAATTCTCAAAAATGGTTTTCTCTCATAGAATCATAAAATTGTTTAGCTTGGAAAAGACCCTTAAGATCACCAAGTCCCACCGTTAACTTAGCACTGCCAAATCCACCACTAAACCATGTCCATGAGTGACACATCTGTTTTACTATGTACCTGTGCATATCTTCTACCTGTGTATCTATATTGTATGAAGTACTTGGCTACTCAATGGCTCAATGGGAACAGATTTCACCACCTATAAAGCAATACAGTTCATTACCTCAAACAAATGTACACAACAGACAAGCACCTCTTGCAGTTCATTCTCACACAAATACAAAGCTAATTAATCATTACAGAAAATTAGTTTAGGATTTGACACAATGGGCAACCAAGAGACAGTAAAACACACGTATGACTACTCACATGGTGTAACATGAACAGAGAAATTAAATGGCATGAGAAGTGCTATAGAGGAAGGCAACGGTAGAAGCAGAAGCACTGTCAGCCATTCAACAAGCATCTCAGAAATAAGCAGGGTTTTGGAACACCTTTTTCACACTGATACACTCCTACCCTTTGGTCAGCCTTATTTGTACTGCCAATGAGACAAAAGAAAATAATGAATATAAAAACATTGGCCACATTCCTTTCAAAGTAGCATCAATCACTCAAAAATTCTGCAGCATGCATCTTCCAACCACTTGCATGGGATAGGAATAATAATAATGCAACCTGGCAGACAGCAGGCATTGCACATCTGATGGGAGTGATTTAGCTTGAACAGAGTTAGAAACAGATTCTGCCAACTGGTAAAATTAAAAAAAAACAACCTGTAGTGCAGACAGAGTTAATATTAAATGGAAAGCCAAAGAGGAAATAAAATGCTTTGATGAAAGATATATGGGTCATCTGATGTAAGCCCTGGAACTCAGTTTAGGCCATGAAAAAACTCATGATATTTTATGGTATTTTATGCTAACTGCTTTCCCCTTGACCTCTGAATGTTTAACTCCAGTTACTACACAGAATTGTTATCAAAACAAGCCAAGCTTCAGAAAACATGCAGCTTATTTCCCTCTCTGTGGAACTCTGTCACTGAGAATTTGGTCCCAATTCCTCACGATTCCCTTATATATAAATGTTTTGGTATTGATTTTGAAAAACTCATTCTCCCTAAAAATTATTCCAGAAAATCCACTGCTTTGTGGCTAACGGTACCCATAATTCATTCGTATAGCATGGACAGTGTTCAGTTACTTGCACCTTTATAGCACCAAACTGCTTCGATTGGGGATCTTTTCCTTGAAAAATACCTTCAAAACCTTGTTTACTCTATATTTTCCACCACTACTACCAGCAAAAGTCCTGAAATTGTGAATTACAATCTCAGCCCTGCAACTGTAACAGCTGCAGGAAAAGAAAGCTCTAAAGAATAACTAGTACTTGGATCTGTAAAATGAAGTGTCTAATAGTGACCTAACGAAGCAAGCTGAACTCCCCCTGGCGTCAAAGAGGGCAAAGAAGACACTGAAGCTCTGGTATGCAGATCAATCCTGCAGACTTCACTGACTCACCGATACTAGCAGGCACGGACAGACCATATTCTGCTAAATCTAAACCAATAACAGAGTATTCTTAATCAGGTATCTGATGCTGTAAATAAATGTGGCTGCAATGTGACTAAATCAAACCATATACCCAGTTCCCAAGACAGACTGCAAACAGCTAAGCCCAAAACATACAACCGAAATATAAGGAGTTCTCCTATATAGAGTTTTTCCACCTGTCTCAGATAGAAATACAGATTAATATAGGTTAGACTCCATCTTTCCAAGCCAATCCTTTGTGGTAAAGCTGAAGACATGGCAGAGTAATCTCACAGATGCTGAGACGGCAATGATTTGATTGAACGGTCTGACAAAGTCAGAATCTGGTCCTCAGCTGAGAAGGGTTTAACATCCACTGAGCTCAGATGGAAGGAAGAACCTAAAGAAAACACCTGTGGCAATGGAGAGAAGCAGTTGCAGTTTTGTAGAGTCTCCCTTTACCAGAAGGACATTCCACATTGCCGCATGCTAGTTTTACACCCAGTGCTAACAGCCAGCAATTTGTTGAAATCCTTTTGCTTCCATGCTCTCAACACTGACTATAGCTGTATCATCATAGGCAATACAGTTGGTGACCAGCCTGGTCTCTGGTCACGTAATATTGGGCACATGCATACAGAGGTACCTAAAGCATGTCTATCACTAGCTAAAGTAAGAGGATATTCTGCAAGCTAATCCCCAGGATAGGTGAGGCCAAAGCAGCCTTTTGCCTGCCTGCGTGACCTGGTGCTCACTTCGCACAGAGCTTGCTAGAACTCCTCTTCCCTACCTCAGACAGAGAGCAAAATGATAATAAATACTTAGAAAACCACAGTAAATTCCTGAGATGCAGTCTGTCTCCCAGCTTCACTGAAAGCTTCGGGGGCACCAATAAAAACCTGGGTGGGTGACAACACACTGTAATTTGTGTTTTGAACAGACATTCCCTGAGCAACAGCAAATTTATGCAATCTCCTCCTAGGCTATGGTTTGAGCAACTCTGCTTTACGAACAAGAGTAGTGTCCAACAAAGTAGTAACCACCCAGGTTCAGAGAGTTCCTGCTTGGTGATTCATAAAGCAATCGCATCTATCTTAAAGAGGATTTATAGACTGCTTGCTTTTTCAGCTTTTATCGTCTTTGGTAACTAACACACATTAAATGCAGGCTGGGACAAAAGAACTGAAAGTCAACAATTTGCTATAGATGAAAAATAATTTGGTTCAACACAGGAACACTTTCACCCACTCAAAAGGTACAAGCCATAATACCTTAACTGATTTCCATTCCTGGGATTTAGTCAGCCATCAGGAATTTTAGGCCATTTCTGATTATAAAAGATTATCATTATTTCAAGCTCAAAGCTACATTTTGTTCAAAGGTTATTTGCTCGACAGCCACAATATCTTCCTTGCTTTCTTTATTGTTTTGGCGTTATGTTTTAAAGGCCACTTGCACTACATATTTTGTGGTTTTCTGCATGATACACCAATACAATATGCTAATTTCCAACTAAGATGCTGATGTTCCAGACCAGTATGAATCAGGCCTTACTTAATCTAGCCAAGTAGTCTGCTTCCCTTTCCAGCAATTAATTAAACCCTAACCTTAGACTAAGCAATATCGCCAACAAAAGTCTGTGGAAAGATAAAAAAATGACTGGGAGTCCTCTTTCTCAGAATGGATCCACACAGCACTAGACAGAACCAGCCTGGAAACTGTTTGATTATTAAGCCAAGCTGGCCAAT